TACACATTTTAAATTTTTATTTCTTCTGCGTGAACGCGTGCCCAATTTCTTACCTGTCCACCTGTTTGTCTCTCCATTTACCTGGCAGTTTAGCCTTCAATACCTACCTGCCTATGTATATATATGAACAAATAAACGAAAGTACATGCTCCGACACCTAAAATCGAAAAGTAATATGAGAAAAACATATATATATACTATAATCATATTGATAAGGCTAAAATATAGCCCGTAAAAAGTAGGCCCTTAAGAAAGCTGAAGCTACACTTGTCAACCAACAAAATTTCTTTTAAATGACATACAGACAGATACAAAAATATTTCCAATGCTGTAGCTGGTAATGAGTCAACTGAAAAACAGAAATTCGGATGTATAGAGCAGGTGAGTACGGTCGAAGAGCAATTTTATGAGGTCATAGGCCTGCAGTTCGCTGCGTCCATTTAAAGCAGGACTCACGAATGTGTGTCTGTATGTATGCGAATGGGTACATGTGCGTGCGCGTCCTGCGTTATAAGTGGACACATACACGTATATATCTATAATGCTTTTACACTTATAGATTGAACATGCATTCTCTATGTCAATTTTCATTTTCTCAAAACCTAGGTAGATATCATTCGGAAACTGAAATGAATAGAAAATCTAAGATCCTGATAGTTCATTGCCTGGTGTAACCAGAGAGTAGGCGCTTTTCTGTTGCTCTAAATGCTATTGAAAAGTTTGTCTCCTTTTTGGGAAAATGATGATCTAAGTGACAGCTTTACTTTATTATTATGAGATCTGAAGTACAGGTCTATGCCCTGTAAACACAGTCGGATGTATGAGGAACTGCACTGAAAGACGAGAAGTCGACGCCGTTCCTGCGGAACACGGAGGCGCACCTGCTAATCGCCGAAGCGGAATTCTGAGGAGTTCGGGAGAAGACGAAGCCGAACTCGGACTTGTAGTTGTCTGTGCCGATGCAGGAATACACGCAGGAGTAGCTGTCGTAGTCAGTCTCGATCACTTCATAGGGAGCGGCGAAAGCTGTTGGAGAGGAGGAAATGTGCAGTTGGTCAGTATGTCTATTTTCTACAGTATTTAAAAAGGTACAGTTTTGATATAGACAGGAAAGAGTGTTTTACACATACCAGAAGGGAAATCAACGAGCATGTGAGCAGGTGGGAAGTCCTTTGTGGGGTAGATATTGCCCTGCAGTCTGATGTATTCGTTGTTGGGGCTGAATCCAGCTGTGGTTACCCTAAAGCCGTTAACAGAGTCAGAGTAGTCGTAGTCGGAGTGGATGCAGCGAGTGTATGGCTGGTAGGGGATGTCGATGATCTGGACCTGATACCAGCGACCAGCATACTGTTGGGGAGCAGATTTTACTAAGACACTTGACACAGTAGTGTTGTGATCAATTTGCAAGTGAACATACTATTGATAAGCAATACATAATAAGGCAACTCACTCTGTGAAGGTCGAAGTTGTTTTGATTTGCCACTTTGGCACAAGTTCCAGGAGCTACGAAGTCTGGAATGCTGTCGGCTGCGACAAGAGCCACGAGGGCAGCAGCTACGAGTGCCTTCAACATGGTGGCTTGTGTGACTCCTGGTGGTGAATCTTGATCTTTATATCCCATGTCACAGGTAAAGCAGTGAAAGAGGCGGAGCTTCAAATTACGAAAATCATCGTTTGGATTAAAATATTCCAACTTACAACTAATCTTAATTCCTCTATCACCGACTTGAAAAATATTTTGGACCGTGACTTTCCTCTACGGGATACACCTTGTATATAAAGGCGCTTGAGAAGCTCTCACGCCACTCAGACTGCAGGATCATCATGAGGACTTCGCTGCTGTGCCTCGCTCTCGTTGCAGTGGTCGCTGCCGACAGGATCCCTGGCTTTGTCGTGCCGGGAAAATGTCCTGCGGTCGACGAGAGAATGCTCTACTCTCAACAGAAGCCGAACTATCAAAGGGTAAGTCTATTTACGCAAAAACAATGCATCCACACACATATAGTATATATAGATATTTGTGTGTGAGTGTATGTATGATATATGTGTATGTTAGTGTGCGCATGCGTGCGCCAATATATAATCCCGTTTATATATATATATATATATATATATATATATATATATATATATATATATATATATAAGTGGGTTTATCTACAGGCGCACACATGCACACATACATACATAACTACATATGTATGTATATACACATATGTATGTATATGCACATATGTATTGATATATACACAAATAAAAATATATGTATATATAAAAATATGGTTATATGTATCATAGTTACACAGTTGTATGGACATATAAATATATGTATATATACACATGCACACACACACACAAACACATATATATTGATGGGTGTTAAAGTAAATGTATTTTCATATTCAATTTGCCACAATTCTTATGATCCAAATTTCTTCAATTACAGTATGCAGGCACATGGTACGAAATTGCACTCACAAACAACCCCTATCAACTGATTAAGCAGTGTGTCCGCAACGAATATACTTATGGTAAGTTTCTATTTGATTCTACTTTTCATTTTTGCTTGACTTCTTATTGGTTATAGACCTTTTAGAAAAAAGAAAAAAAAAATACACAAGTAAAAATTTATCCACAGATGGAACCAAGTTCAATGTCAGGACCACTGGTACTGATGCCCAAGGAAACGCAATCACACGTAAGGGTCAGGTTCTGCCAAATCCTTTCGGAGAGCCTCACCTTTCCGTGGACTACGAAGAATGTAAGTATTCAAGATGATATTATGTAAGTAAATATGAAAAGAATGTGTATAAGTTATCCAAACAAGGAAATCTATATGATTAACGGTAGAATTTCCCTGTTTCTAGCCTGGATGGCTCCCTACGTGATTCTGGACACTGACTACGAGAACTTCTCGTGCATCTATAGCTGCGCCGGCCACAACTTCGGCTACTACGCCGACTTCGCCTTCATCTTCTCCCGCTCGCCAACTCTCGCTGACAGATACTACAGGCGTTGTGAAGCCGCCTTCATGAACATCGGTGTTGACCCCTCTCGCTTCAGCAAGACAGCTCAGGGTGCATCCTGCTCCTACAACACCAACTACAGGTCTTGGTAGAAACACCAGTAACGTAGATACACTGTACGTTGATGCCTGCCGTGAAATAAAAATTTTGCCACTCGTATTCTCTCTTTACTCTCTTTACGATAGTGATGAAGGGCAATGTCAGCACTGATTGAATCTGAATTTGTGAAAATTACTTCGAAGTCTGCCTGAGGGAAAAGGAAAGGCGCAAAAGATAATATAGATAGCAGATACTAGCGAATGCCGACTGTTTACTTACTTAAGCGCATCTTGATCGTGGGCTGGGAATAATCTTCATCGTGAAGCTAAAATATGCCATTTTATCATGAATCGATGTGTGGAATTCATGACGAACAAATTGCAACAGGAACAACGAAGGAAAGAACAAGAAAACACACGAATATGCGAAGGCATTTTTACTACTGCAATAGCGAAAAAACCTTCTTCATATTCGTGATATTTACTTTTATTTCTTTTAGTATCAGACGGTTTCATCATTCCTGTTTTGAATTATTTTGTAATTGTCATTTTTTATATATAATCTATGGATCTTGAATTTTATTTAATAATTCATATATGGTTTAATTTATAAACATTATGATAAAACAATTATTTTCAATTATGCCTTCCAGCTTTCCATATCACTGATTTTCTTAAATGTATGTTTTTTGTTTTTTTTTTTTAATTGGGATATATATAAATATATATACATACTGTATATATAGACCCATGTATATACATATCTATCTATCTATCTATCTATCTATACCTATATCTATATATCTATATATCTATATATATACATACATACATACATACATACATATATATATATATATATATATATATATATATATATATATATATATATATATATATATATATATAATATATATATATACATATATTCACGTGTGTGTATATGTATCCACACATCATGCTTATGCGTTTCTTTCAGCTATAGACCATAGAACTCTTAATGAGTTCGACATTATGTAGTTCCGATACCGTTAGACGTTTCACTTTATATATACACAGATAAAATGAAAGAGAAAAAGAAAGGGAGAGAAAGTGAAAGAGAAAAGGAGGAAGAGAAAATTTAACAGAGATAAAGAATATGAATTCAGATTTTTTCTTTTTGTCTAATCTCTCTTTGAGAAACACTGAGACATACATCGAAAGGGGGAATTACACCATTTTTAATTTTCATTTCTTCTGCGTGTCCGTGTGCGCGATACCTGTCTTATTTATTTACCTGTTTGTCTTTCCATTCACCTGTCTGTTTATCCTTCTGAATATCTACCTGTCAGCCTCTGTTTATATATGAACAAATAAGAAAGTACATGCCTCGGCACTTAAAAGCGAAAATCAATATGAAAAAATATACATGTACAACATAGCTAAAATATATCCTGTAACAAGTAGGTCTCTAAGAAAGTTGAAGCTACATCTGTCGACCATCAACATTTCTTTTAAATGGCAAATACATATCTAACATAAATAGTTCCAGTATTATGGCTCTTAATGAGTCAACTAAGAAACAAATATTCGGGTGTATAGAGTAGGTGATAGCGGTGAGAGAGCAGTTTTATGATTATGAAGTCATGGGCCTGTAGTTCGCTGCGTCCATTTGTAGCAGGACTCACAAATGTGTGTCTGTATGTATGCGTTAAAAGTGGACACACAAGTGCATATTAATTCATGCATTTACACTCATAGATTGAACATGCATTCTCTACATCAATTTTTATATACTCAAAACTCGAGTAGATGTCATTCGGAAATTGTGAAATGAAAAGAATATCTAAGATGTTGATAGTTCATTACCTGCTGTAACCAGAGAGTAGGGGCTTTTCAATTGTCATACATCGTATGGAAAGGTTTGTTTTCTTTTGAAGGAAAATTATACTCTAAGTGACAGCTTTACTTTATTACTGTGGAGATCTTAAGTACAGGTCTATGCCCTGTAAACACATTCGGATGTATGAGGAACTGCACTGAAAAGGGAGAAGTCGACGCCGTTCCTGCGGAAGACGGAGGCGCACCTGCTAATCGCCGAAGCGGAATTCTGAGGAGTACGGGAGAAGACGAAGCCGAACTCGGACTTGTAGTTGTCCGTGCCAATGCAGGAATACACGCAGGAGTAGCTGTCGTAGTCAGTCTCGATCACTTCATAGGGAGCGGCGAAAGCTGTTGGAGAGAAGGGGGAAATGTGCAGTTGGTCAGTATGTCTATTTTCTACAGTATTCTAAAGTACAGTTTTGATACACAGGAAAAAATGTTTTACACGTACCAGAAGGGAAATCAACAAGCATGTGAGCAGGTGGGAAGTCTTTTGTGGGGTAGATCTTGCCCTGCAGTCTGATGTATTCGTTGTTGGGGCTGAATCCAGCTGTGGTTACCCTAAAGCCGTTGACAGAGTCAGAGTAGTCGTAGTCGGAGTGGATGCAGCGAGTGTATGGCTGGTAGGGGATGTCGATGATCTGGACCTGATACCAGCGACCAGCATACTGTTGGGGAGCAGATTTTACTAAGACACTTGACACAGGCGTGTTGTGATCGACTTGCAAGTGAAGATACCATTAATAAGCAATACATAATAAGGCAACTTACTCTGTGAAGGTCGAAGTTGTTTTGATTTGCCACTTTGGCACAAGTTCCAGGAGCTACGAAGTCTGGAATGCTGTCGGCTGTGACAAGAGCCACGAGGGCAGCAGTTAGGAGTGCCTTCAACATGATGCCTTGTCGTGTGTGACTCCTGATGATGAGTCCTGCTCCTTATATCCCATCTCACAGGTGCAGAATCGAATTTCACGAATGTCATGTTATTTTTTATTTTATTTTTTTTTTAAATGTTATATCTGTTTTATATACAGCGATATTTATTAAGATGTTGGAGCTTATGACTAATCTAATTTCCTATATCTTTGACATGAATGACATTTTGGAACGTGACTTTCCTCTACGGGATGCTCCCTATATATAAGAACGCTTGAGAAGCTCTCACGCCACTCAGACTGCAGGATCATCATGAGGACTTCGCTGCTGTGCCTCGCTCTCGTTGCAGTGGTCGCTGCCGACAGGATCCCTGGCTTTGTCGTGCCGGGAAAATGTCCTGCGGTCGACGAGAGAATGCTCTACTCTCAACAGAAGCCGAACTTTCAAAGGGCAAGTTAAATTATAAGTAAAAATTATGGAAGGTAATTTGTGTTTATACATACATTCACAGACACATATAGTATATATAATTAGACATGTTTTGTGTGCGTATGTAGGTATAATATATGTATGTTAGTGTGTGCACATGTGTGAGCTAATGTATAATCCCACTTGTATCTATATGTATATATATATATATATATATATATATATATATATATATACAAATAAATATATATGTATATATGCAATTAACTATACATGTAATATGTATACAAATGAATATGTATATAATATTTACGTTCGTATGAATAATATGTACATATGTGTATATTTACACACATCTATATATATATATATATATATATATATATATATATATTGATAGTTATTGAGGTAAATGTATATTCATATTCAATTTGCAATAATTCTTAATTCCAAATTTCTTCAATTACAGTATGCTGGCACATGGTACGAAATTGCACTCACAAACAACCCATACCAACTGATTAAGCAATGTGTCCGTAACGAATATACTTATGGTAAGTTTCTATTTGATTCTATTTTAAATTTTTGTTTGAGTTTTCTTTCGGGATACAAACTTCTCTTGGAAAATTTAATATATAGATAAAATATATTCACAGATGGAATCAAGTTCAACGTCAGGACCACTGGTACTGATGCTAATGGAAACGCAATCACACGTAAGGGTCAGGTTCTGCCAAATCCTTTCGGAGAGCCTCACCTTTCCGTGGACTACGAAGCATGTAAGTATGCACAAGGAAATTTTATAAATAAAGATGAAATAAATATGTATAAGTTATCGAAACAAGGACATCTATATGATTAACTGTACAATTTCCTTGTTTCCAGCCTGGATGGCTCCCTACGTGATTCTGGACACCGACTACGAGAACTTCTCGTGCATCTATAGCTGCGCCGGCCACAACTTCGGCTACTACGCCGACTTCGCCTTCATCTTCTCCCGCTCGCCAACTCTCGCTGACAGATATTACAGGCGTTGTGAAGCCGCCTTCATGAACATCGGTGTTGATCCCTCTCGCTTCAGCAAGACAGCTCAAGGTGCTTCCTGCTCCTACAACACCAACTACAGGTCTTGGTAGAAACATCAGTAAGGTACATACACTGCACGTTGATGCCTGTCGTGAAATAAAAATTGTGCAACTCGTATTCTCTCTTTATTCAATCATATCCACAATAGTAATGAAGGGCAATGTCAACCCTGACCAAATCTGGATTTGTGAACATTATTTCTGTCTGCCTGAGGGAATAAAGTAAGGTTCAATATATAAGATACACCCCAATTGCCATTCAGTAAGAAAAACATATAAAACGCCGATTGGATACTTACTCTAGCGCATCTTGATCGTGGGCTGGTGATAATCATGATGAAGCTACAAATAAGTTATTTTGACATGAATCGACTTACCTAGAATAGCGTCAACATAGCAGCAACCTTGGCTGCTCACCACCTCAAATCCCATGACCCTGAGTAACTTATATGCAATACACAGATACATGTCTATGTCTATGTATATATTATGTAGATAATATATATGTATATATATATATATATATATATATATATATATATATATATATATATATATATATGTATACGCAAATACATACTTATATGAACATGTCTTCACACACATATATATAATATGATATATGCATAAGTATGCGTTGGAGTGTGTTTGTGTTCTTTGGAATAAAATTGTGACACAGGTCTTATTGAGTTCGACATGTATTTGTTCCGTTACCACCAGTTGTGTTTCATTTTATATGTACACAGATAAAATGGAAGAGAGAAAAAGAGAGGGAGAGAAAGTTAAAGAGAAAAGGAGGAAACGAAATGAAAAGACAAACAAAAAGATATTATTCAGGAATCTCGGAAAGTCGAATAATTTTCGCAGAAAAACATTGAGACATGCATCGAGAGGGGGAATTACACCATACTTGATATTCATATTAGCGTGTCCATGTGCGCGATATTTATCTTATCTGTTAACCTGTTTTCTCTCCATTTACCTCGATGTTTATGCATAATAGTGATAAAGCTAAGATATATCCTGTACTAGGGAGGCCTCTAAAAAGCTAAGGCCGCAGTTACCATCAACATTTCTTTTAAATGACAAATATATATCTGACAAAAATAGTTCCCAGTACTATGGCTGTTAATGAGTCAACTAAGAAACAGAAATTCGGGTGTATAGAGTAGGTGAGAACGGTGAGAGAACAATTATATGAGTCATGGGTCTGTAGTTCACTGCGCCCATTAGCAGCAGGACTCACGTATGTATGCATTAAAAGTGGACACACAAGTGCATATTAATTCATGCATTTACACTCATAGATTGAACATGCATTCTCTACGTCAATTTTCATATTCTCAAAACTCAAGTAGATGTCATTCAGAAATTGTGAAATGAAAAGAATATCTAAGATCCTGATAGTTCATTGCCTGGTGTAACCAGAGAGTAGGAGCTTTTCAATTGTCATACGTCGTATGGAAAGGTTTATTTCCTTTTGAAGGAAATGATACTCTAAGTCAGGGCTTTACTTTATTATTGTGGAGATCTTAAGTACAGGTCTATGCCCTGTAAACACATTCGGATGTATGAGGAACTGCACTGAAAGACGAGAAGTCGACGCCGTTCCTGCGGAAGACGGAGGCGCACCTGCTAATCGCCGAAGCGGAATTCTGAGGAGTTCGGGAGAAGACGAAGCCGAACTCGGACTTGTAGTTGTCTGTGCCAATGCAGGAATACACGCAGGAGTAGCTGTCGTAGTCAGTCTCGATCACTTCATAGGGAGCGGCGAAAGCTGTTGGAGAGAAGGGGGAAATGTGTAATTGGTCAGTATGATTATTTTCTAAAGTACAGTTTTGATATACACAGGAAAGAGTGTTTTACACGTACCAGAAGGGAAATCAACAAGCATGTGAGCAGGTGGGAAGTCCTTTGTGGGGTAGATCTTGCCCTGCAGTCTGATGTACTCGTTGTTGGGGCTGAATCCAGCTGTGGTTACCCTAAAGCCATTGACAGAGTCAGAGTAGTCGTAGTCGGAGTGGATGCAGCGAGTGTATGGCTGGTAGGGGATGTCGATGATCTGGACCTGATACCAGCGACCAGCATACTGTTGGGGAGCAGATTTTACTAAGACACCTAACACAGTCGTGTTGTGATTAATTTGCAAGTGAACATACCATTAATAAGCAATACATAATAAGGCAACTTACTCTGTGAAGGTCGAAGTTATCTTGATTTGCCACTCTGGCACAACTTCCAGGAGCTACGAAGTCTGGAATGCTGTCGGCTGCGACAAGAGCCACGAGGCAGCAGTTAAGAGTGCCTTCAACATGGTGCTTGTTATGTGTGACTCCTGGTGGTGCGTCCTGCTCTTTATATCCCATGTCACAGGTAAAACAGTGAAAAAGGCGGAGCATCGACTTACGAAAATCATCGTTTGGATTTTTTTTTTTTTTTTTATAAATAGCTATATTTATTAAAATATTCAAGCTTACAACTAATCTTAATTCCTCTATCATCGTGACTTTCCTCAACGGGATGCACCCAGTATATAAAGACACCTGAAAAGCTCTCACGCCACTCAGACTGCAGGATCATCATGAAGACTTCGTTGCTGTGCCTCGCTCTCGTTGCAGTGGTCGCTGCCGACAGGATCCCTGGCTTTGTCGTGCCGGGAAAATGTCCTGCGGTCGACGAGAGAATGCTCTACTCTCAACAGAAGCCGAACTATCAAAGGGCAAGTTAATTTGCATATGATAACAATCTAAATTTGAATACATAAATGCACGTGCATGTGCGCAGTGCACACACATACACACATATATGTGCATCTGTGTATATGTAGATATTTCATATACAGATATATACACGCATGGGTATTTATTCATTATAATGCATACATACATCCATAATGTGACTGCATGTTCACATTGCAAGTTTCTACAGTCGCTATTTCTGAAATTACAGTATGCAGGCACATGGTACGAAATTGCCCTTACAAACAACCCCTACCAACTGATTAAGCAGTGTGTCCGCAACGAATATACCTTTGGTAAGTTTTTGGTTATAGACCTTTTACGAAGTGGTACATAACCTGTGTATATACTATTTTCACCTAGCAGAAAAACGAGTATCTAAATCCACATACATACATAACATATATATATTTATATACAGATGGAATCAAGTTCAACGTCAGGACCACTGGTACTGATGCTACTGGAAACACAATCACACGTAATGGTCAGGTTCTTGCCAAATCCTTTCGGAGAACCTCACCTTTCCGTGGACTACGAAGAATGTAAGTATTCACAAGAAAATGTTTTACTTAATTAGACATGGATTGGATATGAATAGGTAAATCATACAAGGAAATATATTTGATTAACAGTACAATTTCCCTGTTTACAGCCTGGATGGCTCCCTACGTGATTCTGGACACTGACTACGAGAACTTCTCGTGCATCTATAGCTGCGCCGGCCACAACTTCGGCTACTACGCCGACTTCGCCTTCATTTTCTCCCGCTCGCCAACTCTCGCTGACAGATATTACA